GAACGATCTGCTCAAGGAAGTCGTCACTTTTAACTCCGTTGAAGAATTCTGGGGAATATATGTAAGTCTGGAATTTGTCTCCCCCCCCCCAAAAAAATGAGGGGCACGGTTCTGGCTCTTATTTTATTGTATACGGCATAATATCTGACCACCCACTTTGCTGTAAACAGAATAATATCGCGCCTACCTCTCAGCTCAGCTTCAAGTCAGACTACCATCTATTCAAGAAGGGAGTCAGACCAGAATGGGAAGACCAACAAAACAAACATGGCGGCAAGTGGTCGTACTCTTTTAAATTCACCAAGGACCGGAACCAGGTTCCCATCGACGAACTCTGGCTACATGCCCAACTTACGGTGATTGGAGATACTCTCGAAAATGACGGTGACAACGAAGTCATGGGAGTTGTCGTTAACGTGCGCAAATCTTTCTACCGAATTGGTCTATGGACCCGAACAATTGGACGTGCTAGCAATGAGCGCTCGCAAGATCAAGCACAGAAGATTCTCTTGGCTATTGGCAGACGGTTCAAGGAAGTTCTCAAACTGAAGGACAATGAGCTCCTCGAGTTCTCCGGCCACACTGAGAGTGCCAATGCAGGAAGCACCCGTGCTAAAGCGAAGTTTACAGTCTGAAAAAAACGGCGTCTGGTCGTATAAGAGATTCAATCTTATCCAGATATCAACTTTGTATAGCTACGTTCAGTTCAATGCCTCCCCTTAGTGCTGAACGGCCGTGGTGAACGTTAGTAGGGAAGCGTTTGTATCTTCCCTCATTGGCAGGATTGAGATTACCGGTAGAAATGGTTGTTACGCTTTCTCAATTTGCAAAATGGAGTCTTACGAAGTCTCAGCATGCGCGTGATGTTCCCAGCGCAGCTTTCTTTTCCCTGGATTGTTTTATCTTAGGAGCTAAAACTGGGGGTTAACGTGGTTTATTTAACATGTCTTCCGCTTTTACTTCTTAATGTCATTAAACTGCTATGCGCGCTTCCTCTTATCCGAAATTCCCCTTTATAAAGCTGTGTTTATCATCCTTCACCGTGTATGATGTTTGGTCCATTAGGCGATATCGCTTCCGGTTCGTTTTAGCCTTGAATTTATTCATCCAACAAAGCTACAGAACATCCGTCTATGTTCATAGTGTACAAGAGTCTATATACATTTGTATTGTACACAACGACCTAGCATGGTACCACTACATCACATCGCCGAAGACCTCTTTTTTCAGGGTTTTCTTGTTTACTGGAAGGATTACTTTGTCAGTAGCTCTCCATCAATGTCCTGAATATTAGTCGAGCACTTACCTTTTCCCATAGCATTTCTTGGGATCCCGCCCTCAAGTACCCTCATTTCCTGGGGGATCTTGTAACTAGACAGCTTCTCCTTCAAGGCACGGCGCAGGTCAAGTATTCCCCATGGCTTTCCCCCGCCAGACCCTGTAGCTGCATGCTTAGTGTCGAGCACCAGTATCGCGGCGACTTTCTGACCCCATTGCTTCGACGGTAGGCCGACAACAGCGGCCTCCAAAACCTCGGGACTACAAATATCCTATGTTAGCCCAGCCAGAATACAGAACAATATAATAGCTGGAAAGCTGGTACTTACAGGGAGAGTATTTCACGCTCAACTTCTAGTGCGCTCACCTTTTCTCCTCCGACCTTGATAATGTCCACACTCTGGCGGCCCTGGATGAAGTATAACGGACCTTTAGCCCAGGCGCTTTCACCTTGCCCAGCGCCATCCACTGGCTTTCGAATAGCCATATCGCCTGTCTTGAACCATTTGCCCTTGCCATCAGGATCGTCAGTAAATGATTCCTCGGTAGCTTGTTTGTTTTGCCAATATTCTTTGAATATGGTTGGACCTCGTAGCTGGATCTCTCCGACTCTCTCACGGCCGTAATTATCAAGCTCTTGCCCGGGGCGTATAACTTCTTGTTTATCAAGGTCGAATAGTCTGACCTCAACAGATGGAAGCGGCCATCCAACGCTCCCATCAATTCTGTCATTGAATTCTAGGCCACAACTGAGAGCCATGCCCACTTCAGTCATACCATATCTTTCAAGAAGGACATTCCCCCCACTAAGATCGGACCATGCCCCTTTTGTAGGCGTCGGTAATGCAGCAGAACCTGAGATATTTAGCCGTAGATTTCCCGGTGAAATGGCTTCCTTGGCGGCCTGTTTAGTGGTATCAGAGAGTAAATCAAATGTATTCAGAAGGCGGTGGTAGATAGTTGGAACCGCTGTGAGGAAGTTTATAGGTTTTGGTGGTGGATTGGCCGTGGACTGAGGGAGAAATGGCTTAGCCAGTCTCTTCCATACTGCTGTAGGATTGAAGGGATATGTAAATTCAATAGATGAGCCAGCAAGGACCGGGGCCAGGATAGCATTGACAGTGCCATGGATGTGATGTAGAGGTAGCATGTGAAGTAGTCTGTCGTCTGGTGAATAAGACCATGCTTCAACCAAAGATTTGGTTTGCGCCGCTAGCGCAGAGTGTGGGAGGAATACACCTTTCTGATAACGATGGATATTAGTTCGCGTTCTATCCGTATCCAAATTCAATTAGCTCAACATACCGGCCGATTGGTGGTTCCTGAAGTATATAGCATCATTCCTCCTTGGGGGTCCTCGATATTGCGAAATCCTACGCTCGATGGTGGCGTGGCTCCTTTTTCAAGCTTAGGAATGAATTCCAGAACGGGAGGATTTATCAATTCTCCCTTGAGAACTTGCTCTGCTTGTTCCCGGTACCTTTCCGTAGCTAGGAGCACTTCAGCTTGCGAATTATCCAGTATATATCTCAGTTCTGCCGCAGGGAAACTAGGAGAAAGAGGAAGAGCAATCCCATCCGCGGCAAGGATAGATAGTAGTATCACTATGCTCATTACAAATGTTAGCCATTTATATAGTGCCCAAGTTCATTGGATCGACTTGCTTGGGAGCTTCTACAGTACCTACGTAGTCGTAGCTGTTCTCCGCCAGAAACGCCACAGGCTTTCCCCGCAAATCAAGAAGCCTCGAATGTCTTCCCCCGATAGTCTTTAGTTTATGCTGAGCCGATATGACATCGCCGAGAAGATTGCCATAGGTAAAGGTGCGGCCCGATGCGCTGTGGACAACCGATGTCGAGAGCTGGTCATGGGAGGCCAATGGATGCAACAGGGGAAGGTTGGGCAGGCTCGAAAATAATCGCATATGATGGGCTCGGTATCCCTTCCCTTTCGGCCATGGTATAGCGCTATACTGATTCACTCGAGCTCTTGGATGCTGCTGCGCAAATAGACAAATCCGCCGGAAACCAGGTCGTATCATCTTGTCGAGGTTAATAGCAGTTCTTTGCTATAGCGGCTTTCCGTCCGCATATCAGATTATTCAACAATAGAAACCAGCTGAAGGGTATCCATGTGTTTCATGGTAAATAATGCCGGCCAGTCTTCATCTTCTATGATGTGTTGATGTGCAAAGAAGTTTCCCCAAGGTCGCGGATGCGCCCAAAAAGCTTAACTAATTTTATGTTAGTTACCGACGACGACAGCCTGGGCCTGAATAACACCGAAGCCTTCTGCAAAGACATACAGGCAAGCAAACCTGCCCTTACCAGCGCATTTGAAGCTCTTGTCGTTCTCCAGCTATTCCACATACCAGATGCTCCGAACCATCCGACTAAGCCAGCAGCGCCTGCAGCTTTTCTCACGCATACCTAGAATGTCCGCCAGCACTGCAACTTCTCAGACGCCTTTGGAAGACGCGATTCGGGATAAGGTATGCCTCAGGTCTTATGTCAAGGAGATAAGTGCATGCGCATAGGACTGATTTCACAATGATTATATGCAGGTCACAAGAGAACTATCGCCGATTTCTCTAACGATCCGAAATGACTCTAAACACCACGCTCATCATGCGCCCATGCAAGGGAATACATCTACAGAAACCCATTTCCAGTGCGTATATGGGAAGCACAGCCATCGACGGCTAAAGACACGAAATTGCTAGCTTGCTCACTACTACTCGCTACAGTGTAACGATAATTTCGTCCGCATTCGCATCGAAGACCCAGCCCGCCCGACATAGAATGGTATATAACCTGCTCAAAGAAGAGATGGCTCAAGAGGGCGGTATACATGCGCTACAGCTTAAGACGAGAACCCCTGAAGAGGAAGAGAAGGCTGCGAAGCAGTAGGCAACGCAGGCGTAGACATGTGATGGGACAGCTGAGGAACTAATACCCTAGAGTTGGCGACTAGGCTTCATAATTGGAGATCGTAAGAGTCTGGGCTGGTGCCATAGCGGTTGCACCAAGGCATATGTTAGACTTGAGCTCGAGGAACCATACTTTGCATACTACAATATTGCATTCAAGCATTGGTCCGGTAATGATAGACCTGGGACATAACTGGCAATGGTGGATAATTAAAGAGATAGACAATATAATATCAGAATAAACTCTTATTGTTTACTCCAAAAAATACAAAGCCAACCGTTCTTTTATAAGGTGTAAGGAGAAAGTAGACGACATGATGAAGGACAATAACACAAGAGAGGAACCGGAGAAGAGAAAAAAAGGAAACAGGGGTAATTATTATATAGTAGTAATGTCAATAAGAGTACCTTCGAAGAAACAGACAGGAATCCAACAAAGGAAAAGTGTCACTGAGCCATAAGAGCTGATATAGTACAGCCGGGCGAGAATGGAATTGTAGCTGCTATGACGATTGACAAAAGAAAACGGAGGCTCCAACGATGATTGTGAATGTGGCTTATCGGTTCGATGCTGGAAAGCAGAAGAGAAAAAGGGGAATTTTTGTCGAGTAACTAGGAGAGGATGCTCCAAAAGGGATACCAAAAGGATCTTACAATACTGGTTGAAGGGTATAAGCACATGTACAAAGGGAAGAGAGATATTTTCGCGGAGGTTCGGGTCGGAGGAGTGAACAGCCATGCTCTGGCCACCGGTGTGGATAATAGACGTAGGTAGAGGCAAGTGGTAGCAACTCTACTTCTTTTGTATAACGACGACAACGACAATGACGACAACAATGATGATAATGATAAGGACTGCGGAGAGCAAGAATTAGCATGATTTGGCAAACTCCACGGGGAGAGACTCATGTACTTACGACAGATGAGAAGACACCACCACTTCTTTCTGTTACGAGCACGGGCGGAATCAATAGCGCCCTTAATCTCTTCATTGGCCTTGTCGACGTTCTCCCGCACTTCTTCACCGGTCTGGTCGATGTGAGCAATGGGTTCTTCTTGTTGAATAACCATAGCCTCAAGGTCGTGGAACATCTGTGTCAATTCGACAAAGTCTCGTTCAATCTTCTGGATCTCCTCGTGTCTGGCCCGAACCATCTGCGACACCTTTTGGGCATCTCCACGGCGGTCACTTTGGATCAACTATTGAAATTGGTTAGAATCTTTAATTCACATATGGGGATGAAGTCCGGGGGGGAGGGGGGGGGGGGGGGGGGGGGAACGATACAGCCTGGCTGAAGATCTGCTGGTTCGAGCTATCCTGAACAGCCTCTCTAACCTCGGCATCTGTTGCATCCGGTCGAACAATACGGTACTGTCGGGCCATTTGCGACTCGGACTCTTTTCGGAAATCAGCCTGAACTTGCTGGTATCGTGTGATGGCTGCCTTCAAGCTACGCTCAACTTTTCCAACCTGGGAGGAGTTGCGTGGGCTTCCGGATTCTGGCATCTGCTTGATAGACTTCACCCGGTCGACCAAGTTACGATAAAGGCGCTTCGTCTGGTTGGCAAGGTCTTCGACTTCTTCTCGGACGGCATTTTCACGAGCAGGGTCGACATCACTGAGCAGACGGCGGTAGAGGGTGCTAAGCTGGTCAACATATCGGTTTACATCATCGATTCCACGGTCAACGTCTCTGCACTGGTTTAGGATAGCGTTGGGATCTTGAGGGCGTGGCTGGTTGTATTGGGACATTTCTATATTACCCGGATTAGCGAAATGCCACAACCAAGCAAAATAAACAAATAAAAACCCTAGAAGATAATGCTAGCCATACCATAATTGTTGTGGCCGGCTTCGACATCTTGGTTATACCCATTACCGGGGTGGCCAGAGCCGGAGTAGTGGTCAATCTGGCCGTAGCCTCGTGCCTGGTTGTTGTATCCCTAAAACGATCGATTAAAATTAGCCCCCAGGGTTCCTCCTTGCCAAAGATCGCATGTTCTCGTCAAAATGTACAGCTGTGATATCAAATTTCGACAAACGAGAGTGGCGACTCACGCTCATTGTGAAATATGGAGTGCCTGGCCGTTGTCAATCCGGAGCGTGTGTGTGCGTTGTATGGTAAATAAAAAAAGGTGGTAGGGTGCTGTGAGTCGAAAGAGGTCGAGATCGAGAAATTAAAAAAAAAAAAGTACGCAAACCAAGACTTCAGCAGATAATCTTTCTTGTTTAAAGTAAAGGAACAAAAAAGAAGAAGAAGACTCGTATGTACACGCAAGAAGGACGAAGGTTGCTATTAATGGAGAGTGGCTGAATGCGAATCCAGCGCAAGGTTGCGGCCGTAGGTTGTGTAAATATGGCGATTGGAGGGGACTGGAGACGCGACGATCCTGGGGCAACGGCGAGAGAGCTCGTGGTCTGGCAGAGAGAATCAGTCCTGGAGAAACAAGAACGCCAGACAGGCCCAGGCAGCGACGTCCAAGAGCAGGCGAAGGGAGAGCAGAAGACGAGAGGACGGGGAGCCTGGAGGATGGAGGATGTTGATCCAGCCGACGGACAACTCGAGAAAAAGGAGTCTCGGACTAATTAATTACGCGGCAAAAACGGGCGGTTCGAGGAGGCTCAGAGGCGCTAGTCCGCTTCGGGCGCTAGTGCCGCCTGACGTGCATTAGAGGCCGAATGAGGGATGTGCATGGTGCCGCTTTAGGGCCCGTTTTGCAGCGAAGCAGGGGGCAGAAGGCGTGGGGTCGTGACGCCGCTTTAACGCCCTCTGCATCCTTCGTCTCCTCCGCCTCGGGTTTATATTTAGCTGCTGCTCCTCTTCAGCCCCTTCTTCGCCTCCAGGTCTTTCTCGCTCGCTAAGCTGCATGTCTGAGTGATGCTGCAGCCACGAGCATGGCGGTGAAGACACGAGCAGATGCATGGTCTTTCGGCTTGCCATAGTCCTCAGCGTGCTGGAGCTTTTGCGGGAGGCGGATATATCTTCAGCTCGTTGAAGGCGGATTGGGAAAAGGGGAGCTCTAGGGGTGGATGGTTACACAGGTCCATAATTACATGCGCCGTGGCGCGGTGAACTTGGAGCCTAGGTGGTTGCCATAAGCCACCAAGATCTCCTGATCCGTGAACAGTGCACTAGCATCAAGTACAGAGTACCTCGGGTACACTTGGATGTGATCAACGGTGGATTTGGTAGAGATGCTACGGAGTACTTTATGACATCACAAGACATTCTATTCACTTCAGGAACAAACATATGAGAATACATCCTTATGAACTAATCTCATCTTCTTATACTGGACCAAAAGAGTCAAGTGCCTGCAAAAGGGTGTCTGGGGGACACTTCTATCTGCCAAAAAGGAGTAAGAAGGGACATGATCCATCGCCCTGGTCTCAATTTTGAGTGTATTATGGGTACACCGAAATCCCTTTTAATGCCAACCCGTATGCCCAAGTTCTGCAACACTATGTCTGCTCATACGTTAGTGGAGAACGGAAGGACGGACGAAGAATTGCGTATGCACTCTCAAGTCAACAGCTAGATAATATAGATAGAACTAATAATGAATAAGATTCTCTTTAAAGGCAACAAAGCAAATGCTTTAATAGGTACAATTATCGGGAAAGCTGTAAGCCGAGAGTTGCAACAAGATTCTTACACTACAGATGTTGCCTCCATCCACAAAGCAATATTTTTTTTTGTTTCTAGCAAGGGTCAACGGCTGGGTCCATCTATCTGATATAAGAAATAAAAACGTATCCTTGACTCGTCAATCCTCTTTCTTACCCCACCGTCTCGTCTCGTCTCCATTCTCCCAGTCGTGCTCTACATAGCCAAGTCGCTTCTTAACCTCGACCACGGTTTTCGGATCACCAGTATTCTTGCCCAGGTTATCACTCAGTTTGACTGCTGGCCGCCCTCCGGCACTGGAGACTTTGATAACGATATTGAGAGGAACGGATTTCTTTCCGTTCGAAGTTCGATTGAAATCATCTATTGCATTCATGCCAAGTTAGCCCAACGTCAGGGGAGGTAGGAAAATATGAACAAATGCTGCAAAGGGAATTCATACTTGTGAAAAATGTACCAACTCCGAATGTGGGCTGGAAGCCAGATTCTTCTGCAATAACTTTATACTCCAGACAAAGTTCGATATTCAGGGAATCAGAGAACACGACCGTTTTCTTATCCTTGATACCTTCCTTTTCATAAAAGTCCTTTACCATCTTCAGGAAGTAAACGGGGTCGCCGGAGTCTTGTCTCACTCCTGTGAAAACCTGGGCGTAGGTTTTAGCGGTGGTGTTTCTCGCCGTGCTTTCAAGGGGTTTCTGGATAGGGGGAACAGTTGATGTAAGGGAGTCAGTCTCGGAAGTAGTATTTCCTGAAGAAGGCATCGTAGCCTCAGGGCCTTCGGCGGCAGATGTAAGCTCTGGCACTGGCTTTCTGAATGCCTCAAGGAACGTAGGGGTTCCAAAAGTATCCGTAAGGGCAATACCCAGAACCTATATAGCATAAAATTAGCATCTGCTGCTACGATTATACCGTGAAATTGAAAAAAGGAGATACTTACCCCTTCACCGAAACACCCTAACCAGTATCTCAGTGCAATCTCATTGGCATTCTCATAGTTGTCCGTGATAGCAGCTATTCCCATATACCACTCATGGGCAACGGTACCCACAGGGTCGATGCCATATTTCATAGCGAAATGGACATTACTGGTGCCTGCAAGTTTCCCCTTAAACCCTTCTTCCGCTCCTTTCTTCACTGCTCTGGTAAGCCCTTCCATCACCAAATTCTGGGTGTGATAGTCTCTGCGTCTCCGAGTTCCAAATTCAGAAAATATGCATCCATTTTCAAGAAGTGCGCATCCCTTTCGGAAAGCCTTCTCTTCTTGTTGATGGTAATCCCAGTCACGATCACAAAACTTGAAGTATGTTTCGCTCGTCAATGCAAGAAGAGGGATCTCATACAATATAGTTTCGATCCATAGGCCCTTGATTGCTATTTTGACATCTCCCATGTCATCCTTAGATCCAGTGTCGTCAATTGGAATGAACGATACCTCCAGCTGCTCGGAAGGTTTCAGACGGAATTCTGATAGGTATTTAAGATATGCGGGGCTAAGATATGAACAACGCTTCTGTAAGAACTCCAGCTCTTCTTCTGTCAATTTGATATTTTCCAGTCCTGGATTATAAGTCAGCGTTCCATTCCAAGGACGTTTTGAGGGTCAGATTGGCTCTGAATAAGCGGATAAAGCTTACTAGCTATTTGCTCTAGCAACCAGTTATATGACCGTCTAGTGAATTTCATGTCCGGCGTTCTGTTGGTGAAGGAGTATGTAACATCTGGAAAGCTCCGGGTTAGCCGTGACCTACGTAGTTTTCGGAACACGTCTGTGAGCAGACAGGCTGGAAAAATTAAAGAACATACAGGCGCTCGGAAAATATTTAAGGATGGCACATTGCATCGTCAGCTTATAGAGATCAGTGTCCAGCAGGGAGAACACCCCCTCTGGAGGAGGGGAAGTTTGGCCCATGTCGAGAAACTTGGAGGTTTCCCCGCGGTGAGTTCAATTGGGGGGTATAGAATCAACTTTGGTTGGGATTTGTAGAAGCAAAAATAGGACGGATTTCATGCCCTAGCAGGCTGGCAAACATGAATTCTTAGATGTAAACAGCCGAAGCAGCCTCTGTTCTTACAATGTAAACAAGAGATGTTCCTCGTGATGAAGGTAGTTACAATAAGCTATGACATAGTTTGGACGCGCCTTTTGCCCGAAGTTTGCACTGTTTGCATTCAGCTCACCCTGTTTGTTGCCTGCAGCACCAGAAACCTCAACCAGGGCTTGAACAGCTTGACAAGGCCACAGCATAGGAAAGGACACAGCCGCCATATGAAGCTCCAGAGAGAATAGGAGTGTATACCAGCATAGCTTATTACAGAATCAACTTGTTTAATTTAACAAAGTATCGGAATGGGACCGATTCGGAGATACCTGCGTGTCAGCAAATACACCGTCCTTGAATGCCGAATATACCTAGAAAACCCATCGGACTCGCGATGGCTACTGGACTCTCATGAGGCTACACTCAAACGGGTCATTGAAAGTATCCGACCTCTCGTGCAGCCCAAGCTACGCGAGGAGAAAGAACGGATCAAGGCCAAGAAGAAGAGCAAACCCGTGAAAGACGTCCTTGTTGAAGGTCAGTCAAGAAATGATGCCATTGTTTCGAATACCGACGGGAGCTATTCCGTTATTAACAATGGACTTTTAGATGATTTTGAAGTTTCTATATTCCTGCGAGAAAGCGGAAGTCGACATTCCCTGCTCACACGGCAAAAAGTTTTCAGAGACGACAAAGGCCGGATCACAAGCAATTCCAAAAAAATGACAGGTGGGACGGATGACTCACCGATTGAAATATCAGAACAGAATATAGGCGAGACGAGGATACTAGTGGAGAGCGATGATGACGAAGAGATGCCTTTTGCAAACGATGAAGCGCCAGAGAACAATAAGAACAAGAAGGATAATAATGCTGCTAATGAAAATATGCAGGACACCGCTGAGGTGGCGAATGAGGCCGCCGAAGACAAGAAGAAGCTAGGCCTTACTACCACGTATGATGGATTTGGAATATGGGGATGGGTCCTGTGTCTAATCATTAAACGCAAGAAGCCGATGGAATCTTCCAAAAAGACGAACGATGGGGAGACCGGACAGGCTCTGATGGAGGAGTGGATTTGCACTCAAGCACCACAAGAATACGACGAATAGCGGTGATACTATGAACTCCTTCCTTAAACGGTTTCTCCTACTTTTATGCTCCGTTTCTATTTTTTTTCCAGAAACAGTGTCGAACTCTGGTTTGGATTCAACGTTCGCCAAGTCCACCTTAGCACGAACGACTTATACCTGAAGCAGGGGATAGGGATCCAGCACAGTGCAGATTGCATATACTCCGTATGCACACCGTTGAGTTGAACAGAGTACAGGAGCGGAAGCCAAGAGAGGATCTCTTCATAGTGGTTCTTCATCCTGAAGCTATCACGCCACGCCATGCGCGCCGTATAGAGCCTTGTCAATCTGGGGAGAGGGAATCGTCGGAATGTTACGGAGTATGGGGAATGCAATCGATGTCAGTCAGCTGAAACTCGGAACATTCCAAATGTTCTCTTTCTCTCTCCTTCCCCCTCCTCAGGTCGTCACAGTGATTGTGAACAAGGGAACAGGGGGGGATGGAGATTTGGGAGGCTCGAAACTTGTCACACGTTGATATCGGCCTGTTCACATGAGGGAGGGGGACGTTGTTCAGGGGGCCCGCGACGACTGTGACGGTTTCAACTGAGTGCACGCAAGCAAAAGCCGTTACGTACAAGTATGTGACTTGACATGGCGCTAAGCAGCAGAAAGAGAAAACGAGAGAAGCTAGAGTGAAAAATTTTTTCTTCCGACGAACCACTTCACCCTGACTACTCAACTTAGTATAACCGAAAAAACCCCCATAAAAAAATATGGGATCTTCAGCTGCCTAGGTCACAACAAAAGTCCCCGAACGAAAGAAATTAAAAAGTCGCCTTCCAGAAACGTTAGCCCCGTTTTAAGGCTAGTTCTAGTTTCTCCAGGAGAAGTTCAACGGTCAGGAGAGAGTCCCCAGTCTGCCCTCCACCAACTATTTTAGCAGAGAAGAGCGATGTCTGGAGTTGCTGGTTAGGGGGGCCAATCATGTTGCTCCACGGCGGCCGAACTAATTTAACCAACCCATGGATGAACGCAGATCAGTATGATTAAATTTTTTTTTTAAAGCAAACAAACCACGTTTCTCAACACGCTTGTCAAACGATTCTGACGACCAATTGAAACAAGCGACGAGCTGTCCTGAGGCACAGCCGGGCAACGCTGATGAACATGGGCCTCCTTCTCCTTTTGTCGCCCAGCCGCAGCCAAGCAAGACATGTTCGCTGACACAATATACCCACTGACTTACTTAATATATTATGCAACTCTCGATCAGGAGAATAAAAAATATGATGTCGAACTCATCATCCTTGCCCGTCGGCCTTCAGCTCCGTTGCCTTGATATGGCCATCGACGGAATCCGGCGATCTGGTCAACTAATGCCGAGATAAAAGACCGATCAGTGATATATGCAAGGGGCGCTTATATAACTGCATGCCTTGGGCGAAGCGCTCCGAACAGGGTAGAGTGCATATATTCGCCATGGCAAAGGATCCAGCCAAGCGCCCATGTCGATATATTGCTCCTGCATCCATTACTCCGTGCATACTTGTATTTACATACATAGTTGACCTACAGCTTTGGACGAAAAGGGAAGATGGAGTTTACTTTTTCGCGGTCTTTGCAAACGCCGACGCCATGCCCTCGGCCTATATACTGCATGAAATCCGTCTATTAAACGCCTCGAAGAAGCAACGACAACAATGTCTGTGTGTAGATAGGCGTTGCGAAATTAAAAATCAAGCCCCAAAGGCAGCCAGACAAGAGAGCAGCAGGAGTTCGCCCTGAGCAGCCGAAAAAAAAAAAAAAGGGACCCCCTGTCGGAAACTACCGATAAGATTTCTCCAAACGAACGCCAAACAACCGGGTCCATTAACTATTGCGCTGAAGCAACTTCATCTCCTCCTTCCGTCTCTCCTAGTCAGTCGACGAGGTTGAAGAAGAGTTACCTAATTGAAATGAGAGTCCCTCCAATTGTCGCTTCTCTGTCTGTCTCTCTGTTTTAAGATTTCGATCTCCGACATTATTAGTTGGGATCAGGGAAATAATAAGGATGCCTTGTTTGATAGTATAATAGTAATAATGATACTGTCTGGGCCAATGGGCTTGAGTGACACACTGTTTTAAGCACCAATAAGATAATTTCCAGCACTGCCACGGCGTCAAACTAGTTGCGTGGCCGGGCAACAAGAGGCAGGCAGAGTTACTTAGTATTGTACAGAGTACCCCCTTAAGTACCACGAGGTACACCCTCGATCTCCTCGCCTTTTTTCATCTCGCAGAGTTTCAGCCCTGTGTAAATGTGTAAAATGCTATTAGCAGTTAGCTCTATTATGTTATCCTTATGTAAAAGAAGCTGGCGCATTCCTTAAAGGGCAAGGCGCGGGCCCTAGCAGGACTCTTCTTGGGGTTTTCTCAAGGCGGACAAGGCTGAAGAAGGAAGCAAGGCCTTTTTCTTTTGCAGTGTGAAGTCATGAGTGATGTGAGCTGCTCGGGAGATGCGAGGCTAGAAAAGCTACGGTGAGACAGATAGGCGCACAAAGAAAGGGGAGAGAGGATAGAACACTGTACGGAATAGAGGTAGGTTAATGGGTCGGTGTACGTTTCCCCCCTTTACATGCATACATATGGATATAGACGTGCATTGTGGTTGTACGGAAACGATAATGGAACTGCATCAATAGGCGAGGAGAAGGAAACAAGAACAAGATCGAGAGACAACCGACGGAGATGTCGATGGATATGGAAACTCGGAATGCACGTAAGTAAGACGACCCGCCTGCAGAGGGCTCCATTTGAACAACCGGTGTAACCAAGGCTGGGTGAGAGAAGATACATACACACGCACGAAACTCTGCACAAGGTAACGGGCAGACAGAGACAGACGGACGGACAGACCGACAAGACCAAGACCAAGACCAAGACTCTGCTTGGGCGCCGTACATCGTACTCCGTACAGCATATCCCATGCGGGATGGGATGCAGAAGCAAAGACAAGAAGAAAAAAAAAAGCCACGACTCGTAAGTCTGGCTCGTCCGGGTGCGCAGAGCGGCTGAGCCCTCTCTTTGATTCATTCTTGCTTCCTGCTTCTTGCTTCTTTCAATCCGTTTCTTTTTTTTTTTTTTGCTGTTCATCTTTCTCCATGCATTTTCTTCTTCTTCTTTCTCTCTGTCTGTCCCGAGCTCAAGCTCATGGGCTCCAGCCGGCTGAAACGGCAATTTCGTGCGATGGGATAATATATTAATATGATAAGGTGATAATAATAATAATAATGTCGTTACTCAACTTGTCGTTCATTTTTGCCCTGTTGGAGCTCTGCGTATGTACAGGGCGGGAGATGATATCATCTGGGATGCAAGGTGGGAGTTAGTCGGGTAAAACTAAGCACGGGGAAGAGGTGCGATATACCTTGGTCAAGATAGCAATTGGACCAGGGATGTTCACTTCCGATTCCGATAAGCATATATAAGTACTTAAGTAGGGTTCTTATTATTGCCTCTCTGCCAACTGGAAGGGAAGACATATCCAGTCTGGGACACTAAGCGAGAACGCAGTGAGACATGATATTAAAATAACTTAACCTCCAAGTCGGCGAACTTCGAGAAAGCGAGACAGGCCATCCAGCAAGGCTGCTCCATAGTAGTCGGCGGCGCCTGCGGATGGAGCCCGCAAGCTAGCTAGCTGTAGACAGTATGGGACGACTGCAAAGTGTGCATGATGCGCCGCCCATAGAGCTACTCTGTATAACTTGCTGGCGACCTCCTTATCAGTCAGTTACATCGAATGCGGCTCCCGGCGAGATAAGAATGGACTGGCCAGGCGCGTCTGCTGGCTCTTAGTTTTTTTTTTCTCCAAGCCTGGCTGGCCCTTCTTGAGGAATCGAGGAAAGGCAGCCGGCGGATGGATGGACGGAGGGATGCAGAAGAAAGAGGCAGGCCTGGAAGTTGCGTAGTATTTCGCCTATTCCTTCAATCTTGCTTAGACGACGGGGAAAGGCAAAAGGAATAATAAGCTTATGATATTATCATTATTATGACCTGTGCTCTCTCTCTCACACTCTCTCTGTCGCTGTCTCTCTGGCTGAGGGGAAAGACGAAGACGATTATCAATTACCTATCTTTGACAGCCGTCGTCTATACGGGTATAGAAAATGAGGCCCATGACGTCGAAGAGCGTTGCGCCCGCCCGCGCGCGTCAGGCCAGTGCATCAACCTCTCTCTCTCCTCTCTCTCCTCTCTCTCTTTCTCTCTCTTTTTCTATCTTTCTAGTCTCTTCTTGTCGTCCCTCGTCTTCCTTTCCCGAGAGAGTGGTTATGTTTACTTGCATCGAAGGGAGAGGCAGAGATGAAACTCGTCTGTTTGTCATTCTTCTGTCTCTTCCTCGACTTCTGCCTCTTCGTCTGGTCCCGCAATTAGCTTTTTTTGCAAAGGAAAAAAAAAAAAAAAAAAAAAAGTAAAGACGAGTCCTGTCCCATCTTGCGCTCTGCTTCTGCTGCTGCTGCTGCTGCTGCTCAACCCCTGCATGAAACGCTAGTCGAGCGCGGCAGGGGCAAAAAAGCAACGAGAGCGAACAGGAACAGGAACAGGAGGACGGAGAAGGGAGGATCGCCTTGCTTGGTTTGATGGGCTGGAGAGCTGCAACTTGTTATGTCATCTCGGCTTCCTTGTTTCTCCCTGCTCGTTCACCGTCGTCGTCGTCGTCGTCGTCGTAGTCGTCGTCGCTGTCGCCGTCGTTGATATCATCTTCTAACTTCAAGAATCACCTGTTTCTTCTTCCTGTTCGGCTATCATGGCCAGCTCACTAACTGCTTACTCACATACTTAAGAGACTACAGGCGTATTAACCCTGTCAGGAATATGCGATGGGGAAACGAGGGAAAAGAAAAGAAGACGCCGTGATCAAGATGTTTGTTTCTTGTTGTCGTTGTCTTCTTCGCCTTCTACCTTCATCCTCTCTCTGTCTCTCTCTCTCTCGTTAAGGACTCCCGTATGTGCCACTTGGATGCTTCATGTCATAGCATCGAAAAGGAAAAAACAAACAAAAAAAAGTCACACACACATGGGAAGCGAGACGTGCGTTGCCCATCCCTGCTTGCACATACTTACATACTCTACAGATGGGGGATGGGCGGTCCTTCGAGCAGGCAGGAGGATGCATCATCAATCACCCTCCATCGTCATCATTATCAGACGGAACTTCGTGTCCTCGCCGACGGACGAACAAGCGAGCGAGCGACAGAAACGAGATGAGACGGAAGGGAACTGTGGCACGGCACATGTTTAGCTACTGTGGTGGTGGTGGTGGTGGTGGTGGTGGTGGCTCATCCCTCGCCTTCTCGCCTTGTATGAGGATGTATACTGTACACCGAAAATACATCGACTTACACGACCGCAGGAACAAAAATGACATCAGAGTAGCTGCGCCTCATGTGATAGATATAGTTCTTATTTTATTAGCTATCCAGAGCCAACTATTATTACTCGTCCCGTATATCGGGTTTAGCAAGCAGGGTACGGAGTACTGGTGGTCGGCGATGACGGTGATGATGATGAAGATGCTGGCTTATATTAGAGGGATCAGGCCGAGAGTTACAGCCAGTCAGTCAACCGGTTACAAGTCCTCCCTTAACTTGTCTGCCTGTCTGCCTGTCTGTCTTGTCTGTCTTGTCTGTCATTTCTGCTTCAAGGGGTTTCATCAACCTCTTTCGCTGGTTTGAAGCTGGTGGTTCAGATTCAGAGCGGGCACTAACTAGAACTCTCTTCTCCTAGCAAGGCCTTTCCTGATGCCTGCAGGCCTTTTGGAAGTATCATTAACTCCCCCCCCCCCCCTCTCCCTCTGGCCTCTCTGGAGTCGGCCTGCAAGCAACGGTCGCCGAGATTGCAAAAAAGAAGAAGAAAAGAAAGGAGAATTCTTTTTTTTTGTTTTTTTTTTTTATTTGCAAAAGTCTTCTAACCAGAAGAGATAAGCAGGAAGAGGAAGAAGAGAAGAGGAGAAGAAGAAAGTCTCCTTCGTCTTGGTGATATGATCTGATATCATGATGCTCTGGCTCTGGCTCTGATTCTGGCTCATTCTTGTCCGTCTTCCCAGTCCTTCTTGTCGCGGATCCCGGACTGCCGAAGACTTCCTCCATGGCAGGCAGACAGACCTGTATGTAATCACCTCTTTTTTTGACTCATCTTTGGGGGCCTTCCTGCGGTTCTCGTCTCTTGCGTCCCCGTCTCCGTTCTTGGTCTCCCTCCTCCTCTTATCCCCAACAGGACCCCTTGGGTTGTCAGGTGGAGCCCGCTGGCCCTTGGTTTTTTTTTTTTTTTTTTTTTTTTTTTTTCCTTTACCCTTTTCCTTTCCTCTTCTTTTTTTTCTTTTTATTTTCTTTTTTATTTTTCAACTTCCTCTTCCTGTGTTTCTTTTTTCTCCTGTTTTTTTGCTTTTTCTCGTTTCTTTTTTTGCATCTACCTTTTGGTGGCCCCCTAATTTATCATGATGGGCGGATCTGAGCCCTATGTACCAGACTATTACGAAGTTACATCTTCAACTCTCTTTTTTTTTACAAGTCGGTGGAATATATATAGAGGGCCGTCCATCTCGTCCCAGCCCTTCCCGTCTCTCCTAACCGTTCATCAGTTCGTCCATTCATTCAATCATCCAAAAGAGCGATCTTATATAGACCAGCCACCACCACCGCCAACAAGTCTATCTATCCAAACTACCAAACCAACATCTGCGCTTAATAACCTGCTACCACCAACCAACCACTACAACTACCGCTATCAAACAAACAACCTACTTGCTGCCTAAGCACACTCCTATACCGACTCCCCAAGGAGCTACCAAAAGACAAACACCACCCTTCACAATGGCCGGATACGCTACTCAGTTCCCTCCATGCCCTGGACCACCACCAACGGGCCCTCTACCGCCTCTCCCAAAGTGAAAAAAAAAAAAAAAAAACGTCATGAACCAGCCAGACCATCATCAAGACTTTTAACGACGACAACAAGACACACAAACACCATAACGAGACAACCATCATCCTCTTCCATCTCATGGTCCTAATCATCGACTTTTCTTTTTACTTCGACAACTTCGAAATAATGCATGGCGACCTTTATCATCTACAACTATCATCATTATCATCATCATCATGGGTGCATCGAGATTACCGATCCTACCTACCCCGGCAGCCGGCTGCCCTAACGTCTTCCATTATCAGCAATTCATTTCTCTAGAGATACCCCATGTTGGACCATAATACATCGTCCTGCCTTCTATGGCATCGACTTGTTATTTTTTCTCCTTTTTCATATCTTTTTTTCTTTTCCTTTTGCTCTCTTCTCTCTGCTTTTTCCTGTTTTCGGCATAATACAATTATATAATATGGTGCTTCTATTCTTCTTCCTTAGCTCCTCTTCTTGCTTAGGTTTCTTTTTCTCTCCTCGTTGTTATGTTGTTCCCTGCATGCATCGCATTATCCCTGGTATATTTTTTTCCCACAAAAAATTATTCCTTTTTTTTTCTACTCTTGACTCTTTCGGAAAACAAAACGTATATCATCATACATCACAATTATACCAAGGCTCATCGCCCATATCCATCTTAGCCTTCCGTCCTGATCCACCTATATTGCATTACACATACGTCTTCGCATGCGCTGCCATGGGGATCTCCATTCAAATCTGCCTCGCCGGTACCCGCCCGACAGAAAAAGCCACCGTTAAGCAAGCGACATGCATTACATTGCGGCAATTGACGACTACCCGGACAAGCTTTTTCTCTTGCACCAACTCCCTATATCCCTCTACATGTTGGGGAGCTAGGGGCCGCGCGCATAGAAAGGGGGACAACGATCAAAATCGCTCAAAACGCAAATGAATGTTCCTTCAAGATTACCTGGCTGAGAGCAAAAAAAAAAAAAAAAAAGAAAGAAAGAAAGAAAGAAAAAATGCCATGTCATTGTTTATTTGTCAAGTTCGCAGCAGCAGCAGCGCAGCTCGAGGCTGGTTCCTCCCCACTTTTTGACGGGACAAGGCCTCATGCATGCAATTTAGAGGTGGACCGCGGAAGCTGTCGGCGTCACTCATGGGATGATCGATATGGGATGTTTCTTTTCCTTTCCACGACTTTCTATTTTCGGTGTTTTTGGGAGGATCGTGAACAAGGAAAAAACTGCGAGGACAAGGAGGGGCACAGTTTTTGAGCTTTGAGGTCAAGATGTATGGGGTGGAAAGAGGAAGAAGAAGATAGGGTTATAGCATAGTAATGGATTCATTCATTCAACCATGCATGAAACTATTGACTCGGCCCGAATCTAATCTACCTGACAAAATGCACACATACATCCCACCCCTACTCTTGTCCCGGAAGTCTCTTTTTCTTGTCTGGCTTGTCGTGTTCTTGGGTACGCCTCTTTCGTACCGCAAACAAGCCGTTGGGCCCCTGGTCGAGTCGATGCAGCATTAACCCACTAACTGGCTGATTTGGAATGCATGAAGTCATCTGACTGCATCGACCATCCTGGCTCATCCTGCATGTTCGACGTGCATATCCGCCCTGCTGCTGCTGCCGGTGCTGATGCAAATGGTTGATTATTGATATCAGATGATACTACGTTTTTATGCTTTTCCTTTGGGGACTTCCTTTTATATTGTCCCTTTATTTTTTATTTATTTTTTTCATATTTTTTCTCTTTCATTGACACGAGGCCTATCGTACTCGCATCTTCTAGCGAATTACGGAGTGTTGGGCGGCTTTATTCGTTTTTCTACCCTTGTACCATATTTTTTTCTTAACTGTACTCTATGAAAAGCAGCATGTATTAGAACAGATGGGTTCTCTCTATTATTTTTCTCAGCCATATTATCTAGGACAAACAGCACAATTGTTCTAATGTTACTAAGACGTTCTACCATCCATCTCCCTTGCTGCCGTCCGAATCCTATAACTACATCTCCGTACCAACGGATCACCCATAGATAAGAGTCTCAAGTCCCAAGTCCCAAGATTCCTCACAACAGCCTCGAATTCGCGCGAAGACGCCGAATCGTGCCTTGCGGACGTGCGAGACTGCGGGCGGCTGGGGGAACCCAGCAAGAGACGGCAGGAGACGTCCAATCACAGCGCTGGTTATGTAAGACATGTTCCACCAATCCTCGTCTATTCTTGCCCACCTTTATGCTCCACCAGCCAGCCAATGAGAAGAGCTCTTTTCTCTTTTTGTGCAAGGGGAACCTCTGACATATCTTCGTCTTGGCCTTGGCCTTGACAAAAGGGTCGCCGGATTCACCTCCCAAGAACGAACTCCATAGCAGATATGATGCTGGCTCAACGATGGGTTTGTTTCGTCATATACATCGCCGACTAGATCTTGGCGCGGTGTCTGTGTAATGGCGTGTTAACTATCAAGTGTTGTCACTGATTGGTAGCGGAACGTGTCAATTGATGCCCTCCATGCTGCCGAATTTCTCGGCTTCCCAGCATAATCCCATTTATTATAACCTCATCAATGATATGATTCTCGATCCTCGGCAACTGTCCGCTAACCGCCAGCCAAAGCAGCTAGTTACTATTTGCTAGGCTGCAAGCATTTTCTCTTAGCTTTTTCTTATTTTTATTTTGCTTCCTTCCGTTAACCAAAAAAAAAAAAGGTTTCTCTCTCTGAACTCCCCGGGACTCTGGCCAGACCAGATCTCCGCCTTCCGGAAGTGAAAGCAACCTCAGTCCGCAAGTAAGTTATCCTAGGTGCTCTGTGAGCTCCTCTACTTGAATTCGTCTTCTCACCGGTTCGTTTCATGTTATGTATGTGAATGAACCTAAGTAGCTGTTAGAAGCGAATCGGCTTCCGGCGGGAAACGTTGGTTGCCCCTTGGGTATGTATGTTGATCGTAGTTGGGAGAGAAGGATGTGCAACAAGTCTAGCTCAGACACCCAGCCTCGGCTGCCTCCTGGAGGGCTGCGAACCCCAGACGGAGAGCGTCGCCCTGTAGGATCCTGCTCCGCACCAAGCTATGGTGTTCGATCGACGAGAGGAAAAAAGGTCCCGGGTGACCGACATTAGCTCTCTTGTCCCATTTCTCCGAGGTTATAGCTAAACTAATTACTGTTTAATTTTAACACGGTTAATGAGATGCGATTTGTAACTAGCCAGCTTGCCTCTAGACCGTTATTCCGATTGCCCGCGCTTCTCCGTGTTGGTGTTGATCGAGTTCCACCACTCATACGGTTAGTTTGGGCGTCACTATGGAGCGTGACCTGTCGCATAGAAACCGTCGGCTTGTGAAGGTTCCCGCTTGGCAAACCATCGATAGCCGTTCCCTCTATTATTACCCTCAATATTTGGGGAAATCAATGCTGTTTGTTCCAAATTGCCAGACGTCCAGAATCCCTTTCCCCAACCCCTCCACTTGGCCACCTTTCCCCGATCGTGCGAGCAGTTCCCACATCCTTGTCCAATCTGGAACTGCCTTTCTCGCACATGTCTCTTCGAAGAGGTAGCCCCGTCGATGCTGTTGGTAGCCTACAGCTTTTGGCTAAGAATAGGCTCGAAGGCACGGTTGTTCTAATATGCTTTTTTAGCTTCTCCAAGGACGCTCGAAACAAGATACGCCTCAGGAGCTTAACCATTAACTTGTTAAAAAGTTGCAAGAAGTTTCTTAGCGTCATATGTGGCCTAGGCTTGCCGAGTGCTTGGGATGATTGCACCAAAGGAACGAGAACCGGCCAAGAACATGATCTACTTCGGCAAAAGGCATGTTTAACATTATTATCGCAAATATGAATTTGCATACGCCCGAAGTGTTGACAGAGTGGCGTTTCTGGTACTTATAATTAGTCTATGAAGTAAACCTCACATCAGCTCTATGCAAGATATAATGGATGCCATAGCTCGCGTGAGGTCGAGCAGCGAGTGAGGATGGAGGGGCAGCTGGTACTTGGTGCGAGCTTCTCCTGTCTGGGCGATGTTTTAAGGCTGAAAATAGGGTTGTACCCGGGCGGGGCTGGTAACCACGCTAACCCAAAAACGAGACTGTTACGGTATTTTACAGCTAAAATATAACTTATTCTCAGGTACCGTACAGCACCCTTTAGCCGTATCGGGAAAGGCCATGTCTTAGCATGCAGGTGGCGTGCTTAACAGGGTCTTGGCGATATTGATTCATCAGGAGAGAGGCAGGCCTTGCGAGCTTCGGAGAGCTCCGTACAGTATGCCTTCTGTAGCGCCCCTGTCTATATGCTAAGAATATACCAGTTTCAGTCGCCTGGGCTATCAAAGAAAATGTGGCTTCTGCTCTGCCTCCTGAACAACAGCCCCTCACATCAAAGCAGGATACCTGAATACTTTCGATATATCTCCAGTATTTCAAATACCAGTTTGCAAAGTCCACGTCGATATTTCTGGTAGCTGGTTCCCTTTTATTAACAAGGAATGTTATGGAGCCTATGATCGCCGTGCATAGAATCGTAGTTTGCGGTTCACTTATCGGGAATTTTCGAGTTGATGCAACGAATCACGAGACTGTAGTTAATCATTCCGGGTGGATTAACTAGATGTAAACACCCAATCATTGAACTCATGCTTGACCACAATTTTGCCCGCCTATTCAGTGTGCCGGGATCAAACATCGGCTCCCGGCCCACTATGGTAGTACTAACTAGTTGGGCAGTTTCCTGGAGTTGGTGCAAAAACCCCTCTTCAAGGGAAGACATGCTCGCGCCAACGCTTTTTCATGGGCCAGCCAGCACGCCCAGCATTGAGCCGGCCATCCGGGCTTGGCCTGACAATCCCACAGCACCCTCTCCTTTTTTTGCTTCTCCTTCTCCTTATTCCCACTCCATCTGAGTTTGGGTTCAGGAACCCGGGGACGAAACGCACGGATGAAGATCCTCGCAGCTGTTTCCCGTTGAGCATATCGAACATCCATCAGTTCCCGATGCTGCGACTTAGGCATCAAGATTTTGTCTTATGATCCCCCTGTTCCCCGATAAGCCAAGAACCAGAATCAAGGCCATTCTTGGTGATCACACCTGGTTGAGGTGAGGATGAGGGGTTTTATGAGTTGGGATAAGATGATTCCGGCTCATTATCTTATGGCGATAGACCTTCATGGCGCCCAGTTATGGCACTTGGATCTATGTGATTCAGGCTGGAGTCCTTCATCAATTGCTTGGTGAACAAATCCACCCCTGGTGCCTCTATATCATCATCACCCAACAACATCGGTATCTGTTGGGCAATTCTTTGCCGACACGTACAGTCGGTCCAACGAAATTCCAGCTGTTCTCCATTATTTTTGCTCGTTGGATATAAGTTGCCTACCTAATAATCTTGTCATTTCTTCTATAGCCAAGTTTGTACCACTTGACCAGGCACCAATGACAACCCGGATTCCTTGATTCCTAGAGGTAAAGATATCGCCTATATTGCCTAGAAAATCTTCATCGCCAAGATTTTATAGTCGATATTCAGTATCCCCATGTTGTTGTTGGCCTTGATAACCCGTCTTCTAGGCGATATGCGCAGTCAGGCATCCTTGCATGCCCAACGCCAAATCCTGCTGGGGTATTTGTATATGTCATGCCATACCTCTCCCTTTTTTTCAATTTGGCAGCTCTGGACTTCATCCGGGGTCCTCATGACTTGCAGGAGAAAAGGCCGGGCACGCGGCCCGTGCCATCCTCAAGCGCCCGCACATAAGCAGATAGGACGGCTAGGTATCTTAATTTGGCGACGGCAGTTGTCCAGAATCACCGAGGGAACCAATGCAGCCTTGGTGTCTCCAGCCTCTCTCTTTCAACTACTAAATCTGTCTATTTGTCCGGGTGGTCAAATAACTGCAAGTTAACTACCCTGTAGTTGTCTAAGAGCACATCTCCCATGGCGACGCCTCGTCAACATGCCTTTACATGGATCATGTAAAGCAAGTTATATCCCGATCCCCATGATCGATAAATGCCGCAGCCCGATCACACGTCGCTCGTTAGCAGGTATCTACAAGTGGTGGTACTTTGCCGGCGATGTTACCTAGCTACCACTTGGTTCATACGTGTAGCCTTGCTTTGCCATGCAGATTGCGCGGCCAGCTATGTCGGTCACATAGCCAATCGAAAGAAGATAGCGTGCTTGGGAGCATATTGAGCTTGGATGCCAGCTGTGCAGTACCTAGCTGGACAGGCATGTCCGTCGCCATACCAATCAGCCTCATCACCTGGTTATCTGGGTGACAGACTGTTGGGATCAGTCCCCTCGCAGTACAACATCTCAGCCCCGACAGCACGGCACGAGAAGCATAAGTAGGATGAAAATGCGGGGGAAGCCATAAAATAGAAGTTGAAGCCAGTCTTCGTGTTAGCTTCCCCGAGCGTATTCGTGATCCTACTCTCGTATCCAATCCTGCGAGAGGTCTTTTTCTTTTCTACTTTTCTCTTTTTTCTCGTTATTCAGGGTTCTCAAAGACATGTCACCTGGACATTCCTTATCTTTGACTATAAGGAGCAATATCAAAGCACAATTGCAAAAACATCAGTCGTTTCTAAGTACATATGCATACCAAGACTCCGTAGGAAGCTATAGCACATGGCTATTAAGTCAGATCTCGCATCAGAGTACGAGAACTTCACGGCTGGCAGCGGCTAGACCTGACAGATGTATGCATGAATGATGAGAGCCGAAGCGCAAAAGTTTCCCCTTTGCATGACCTCTCTCCCCTTCCTTTACCTTTTTATTTTTGTAAATATGTAGATAGCTAGGAGTGCTCAGGTATGCAGCAGTGTCGGCTTTCCCTGCTAGTGCCTAGGAATGGGATTGAGGCAACTCGAAATCTCGATGCCAAAAAACTTTCCGTTTCTGCGAAGGGCGTAGAAACACTCCTGACACAGCAGCTTAGATGAAAGGGGTGAATGGAGTGAATCAACGGTTATGCGGAGAGCATAGTAGGCTGTTTCACAGACAGCTCTAACTTCACCGGCAACAAACTGGTTGCACATCCTGAGTACTGCGTGGTATCGAACAGTGAAGCGACTTATGGGTAAAAGGTTTTTCGCTGTGTTGTTGTCAAGCGCCCGTCCGTCCATCCATTACATATGGTTCACTACCCGTCCTAAGAAGAAGCGATCCATGGGTCGTCCCGTCAATGGAAGATCATGCTGGCACGTGACCAGAGCTTCGGCGTTATTCCAAAGACGGAAAAAAAATGGTCCTGCCCTAATTCGCCGCTGGACCTAGCTGGAGCGTCAGGCCAACCTCAACATCAACGTCAATGCCAAAGACGTCGCAGTCAAGGAGCTTTTCTTCTCCTTTATCGTCAGTTTCCTTTCCTCCTCTTGGCTGTTGGGTTTCTGGATACTTTCTTCTTTCTCACTTGTAATATTATTAATCATGGTTCTGGAGTTACATGTCTGGGGTCCGGCGTTCGGCCTACCTTCGATTGATCCCCAATGCCTGGCCACCATTGCATATTTCTCTCTTGCTCTCGGTCCGAATAATGGTGGATCAGACAAATGGGTGTTGGTTGCAGACAGTGATCCTGGAAGAGTGCCAACGCGTAAGATTTCTTCTCACCCGAAATACTTCATTGAAACTTTTGTCTTTTATATCTTTTGCTTGAGCACCCCAGAGTGTATGTTTTGTTAACTTAACCTTTTTTGATAGATGAACTACCTGCGCTTTGGACAGGCTCACGATGGATCAGTCGATTTCGCAACATTGTTGATTTCTTGAAACAATCCTCTGGGGGAGAATGGGATCTCAACAGGTGGATGGATGAACGGGAAACGGCTGACTGCATCGCGTGAGTCTCATCCACATAACACTGGAGAACACTGAAGCTTTCAAGAATTGAGGGCTAATGCAGCGATAATACAGCTTCTCGAGTTTTATTGAATGCCATGGACAACCGCTAATTGACCTTTCGCTGTACGTTTCGAGTGAAAACTACTATGCAATTACTTCACCTGCATATGGATCCCTTCTGCAATGGCCGAACCAGTGGATACTGCCGCCTCGACTACGATCAAGGGCAAAGGCTCGCACAGAACACCTTGGACTATCGCACCTTGACCTAGATGCGACAGAAGAGAAGCAAAAGGAGCAACAAGATGGACGACAGACGCTATCTGCATCAGGTCAGATACCAAAGAGTCTTGCTACAAAATCTCAAGAAACGATAAGTGGGCTCCTAAGTAAGTCGTCGCAGCAAAGCCGCATCCGACTAGATGGATTAACAGAAGAATTCGTGAGCCCACTGGAAGAGCTACTGGACGGGAAAGGATACCTATTGAACGATGATATGCCGTGTAGTCTAGATTGTGTGGCACTGGGATACCTGTCACTGGCGATTTTTCCCGAGACGCCATCACCATGGCTTCGAGAAGGCGTGCATAAATATTCGCCGCAACTGGTGAAGTATTTTGAGAAGCTGCAATTGAAATGCTACGGCGGAAAGGTTGAATCAGTCGATACTGGTCGGACTGCAACAACACTGCCGTGGCAGGAATCTGAGCCAGCAAGTATAGCAGGGATCGGTCTTAGTATCGCAGAGTCTCTTGCAGATGCCATCCCAATCGTGAGAGACATACGAGCCAGCAGGCGCATTCAACAGCTGAGCGAAGACGTTTCTGCTGAACGGGAGCAAAAAATTATAGAGTTAGTCGCCCAGAGTAGGCGACGGGAAGCTATAACATCAGCTTTGACGGTGGTAGCTGGGATTGGGATGCTTGCCTGGTATCTCGTCGCAGGGATAGGCCTCCAACTGCAGTTTTCTGACAGCGCACAGCAACAGGACGGAAACGGAGATGGTCCCGAAGCTGCTGGTCAAGAAACAGCAGTAGCGACCCCAAGCTCGTCATTTGGAGAAGCTGGCGAGATGCTCGGGCTCCATTAATAACCAGTCCTCTACTGCCCTTATTCGCTCTTTGAGCTTGAACCTGTTCTTTATCTGCCTCCTACTGTTCGTCTTATGTGTGGGTATCCACGCTGTTTCATCACGGATCATCCAACAGGCTACTCCTCTCTCTGCGCTTCACTTATCTGCGGTATTATCATGCATCTCCTTACCAAAAACTCACTCCTCCCCTCCTTTGACGCTGGCTGTTTCCCGGTGCTTTTTCCTACTGGACCCTTTTTGTCTCCCTGTTTAATACAGCCAATGTCGCTTCCGCTCGATCGCTGTGGCCAAGGCCTCCAAGCCGCTCCTGTCTTGCCGCGTCCCGTGATTCGACACGTGAGGATTACTCAGCCGGTATTCGGTCATCCTTGCTCTCAAGGTCCTCATGCATGGCTTTCTTTTTGCTTCTGCTTCTCGTTTTTTGCTGGTTGGACTCTCTTGATCACGAAGAGGGACGGACGACCAGTACGGAGCGCCCTCATCTTCACACGCGGGAGTCGCATCGCAGAGCAAAAGAGCAGAGCAAAAGGCCCGGTGACGGGTGCAGGATACACTGATACACGCACACGGGGCCAGTACATGCAGGGTGGCAGCATGAGAATGCAGAGATATATTTGATATACAACTGACAATTCCCCTCGAGCATTCTCCTCCCTCCCACCCTCCCTCAGTAAAGTCGACACTAATTCCAGCCTCACGCCCACTCCGCAACGCCCTCGCCCTCCCCGACTGGCTACCGGAAGCTATATATACACTTTTGAGTGTGCCGACCTTGCGAGCACATACCCTCAATTGGTTGCTTTCTGAGCCGTCCGGAAATATACCATACCTGCAGTCAACCTTGTTCAAGTGCAAGTGCCACGAGTCCCTCAATATTGTTGACCCTGCCTTTGCTTTTTCCGGCCTCTGCCCTCCATCGAACGAATTCTCGTTTAATTCAGAAGTTTCATTGATTTTGGGCCGGTTGTGTTGGAGGGCCAACTTTCCTTTTTGTTTGGCTCCCAGCTGGCCGTTGGACATATAAATCACCTCCTTTCTCACCCACTCCCTTCGACCTGAGCAGTTTCAATAGTTTTGCCTCTTTCCCCCTCAGAGCAAAACACCAACTTCTACTTGTCCCCAACTCCTTCAGCCAATATTATAACATCATGGACCAATTAGTAGCTGCTACTCTCTCGAAGAGGCATGGTGGCGAAGAGGATGCCACCTTTGTAGCCTGCAACAACGGCAACGACTACAATGGCCAGCTCAATCTGCGCATTGTTGCCGTTTTCATCATGCTTGTTGGCTCCTCGGCTGGTGCTATTCTACCTGTCTTTGCTAGGCGCGACCCAAACTCACCCTCAAAACCCAAGGTTCCTTCATGGGTGTTCTTCGTCGCCAAATTCTTTGGCTCTGGTGTCATCATTGCCACGTCCTTCATCCACCTTATGGCCCCTGCACACGAAGCACTCTCCCATCCTTGCTTAACAGGCCCCATCAAAGAATACCCCTGGGTCGAAGGCATCATGCTCATGACCATCATCATCCTCTTCTTTGTTGAGCTGATGGTCATCCGCTATGCACGTTTCGGCCATGACCATGACCACCCGAAACCGGAACGCCAGGTTGAAACAGGCGTTGTCACTGCGGAGCCTAAGTCGGCCAATGGCTCAGACAACCACAGCCATAACCACGATCACCTTGGACACTCCCAGGATCACCCATCGGACGGCGGCTCCGATGTTGTCGAGGCCTCTCATATGGCGTTATTGGAAGATTACAGCGCACAGCTAACTTCTGTCTTCATCCTGGAATTCGGCATCATCTTCCACTCAATTTTCATAGGACTCACCCTTGCCGTTGCTGGAAAAGAGTTCAAAACACTATTTATTGTGCTTTCTTTCCACCAGACCTTCGAGGGTCTCGGCCTTGGTTCTCGGCTCGCCACTATCCCATGGCCCAACTCAAAAAGACACACCCCTTACCTCCTGGCGATCGCCTTTGGCCTATCGACACCCATTGCCATCGCCATTGGTCTGGGTGTGCGCAATTCCTACCCTCCGGAGGGCCGCACAACACTCATTGTCAACGGCATATTCGATTCTATCTCGGCCGGCATTCTCGTGTACACGTCACTAGTCGAGCTGATGGCCCACGAATTTATGTTCAGCACATCCATGCGGCGGGCACCCATCCGAACCGTCCTGTCTGCTTTCGGCCTATTGTGTCTTGGAGCCTTGCTGATGGCGCTACTCGGAAAATGGGCTTAGGGGTGACACCTTTTCATGATGACCTTCTTGTTTGATATTTTTCTTTTTCTTTTTTTTCTATTCTCCCTCTCCTGCATTTTAATCACGGTTAAAGAAAGGGTTACTGTTATATTTTGTACAGTCGATTTTATTGAAAAGTACTACGGACTGGAGTTTTGTGAGTTTTCTCGTTACCAGATGTATTGACGACACCAATGAACATTTACAAGGAAGAACGCGGATGGTGATGGTGTCCTGCCGATATAGCATGCCGTTTGCTCTCTGATACCTTGGACAGGGGGACCGGTTAGTTAATTACAATTAACAAATCAAATTCTGCTTGAACATGGACAATCGCTGTACTTTTCCTTCGCATCACACACGTATACATCAGCCCATAACCAAATCTCCTCACTTCTGTCGCCGTTGCGTCTCACCAAGCCCTCATTCCCTGTAGTACATTCGACGCCCGGCTCTAACAGACCGCAGCTGCAGCTAAGTATTTTCGATTTCGCCCGGTTTCTTGCTGCAGCTAATGAAGCACTGCTTCAAGGGGCCGGTAGATCTTCAACGATTCGCGGGGGGGGGGGGGGGGGAATGTGGTGGTGCTTGTATCCGCACTTCCTGCCGCTGGTAGTTCCCTGTACGCTGGCCAAGAGTAACAACTAACGACATTCAAGTGTCAGCCATGGCAGTAACGGGGATGAGACGCGCAACAAGGAGTTCCTTGGCTAGCGGTGGGAAATTAGTGGCGTAGTGTCTACGCTAGAACCGTGGACTGCGAGGTATTTTATTTACTTGATGTTACACGCTGAGGATGTCGGTGCCTTGATATATATCTCCAAGCCGGTCGATCGCGTGTCTTCAACGCAAGGGGGGAATGCGATTAGTTACCCGAACCTAGTATCCTTCAACGTCCGCATGTTGGATATGGTGAATAACTATCTTCCTCGTTACGTCTATATCATCTTAACTTTTAAGCGGCGGTCCGTGTGCATCTTCAGATGAAGATCCCCCATGGGGAATCATGTGGGACGCTGTGGACTTTTAGTTCTTTTCATCTCAGGCGTAGCCCCAGTTTGGGCGGTCACATCACCCTGCAAGACATGCTTGCTTGCGATGTTTTGTGTCTATGTTTCAGGCTTCAAGCTAGAAGATTTTGTTGTTCGCTAGGCCTGGTAGCTAATGCGTGGTATTGTGTAGCGGTTCCCGTTCTTAAATTGCCAACTGTTGCGCTAACTAATCTGTTTAGTTAACTGCAGTAAACGCTGGCCTGCACCTTGGGGTAACTAGTTATGTATATCTGGTTGGTGGTTGGGTACATGAAGTGCAACTGGAAGCTCCGGGAGCTTTCCTGAGAGGTATATAGGATCACGTCTGCCATATTATGAAGCAAGATAACTGCACTGATGTTTCTCGCTTTGTGGTATTAATATCCTGCATAACAATGGTCACCTCTGTTGTTATTATAGTGCAGCGTCGTATGAGAATCCAGAGGCGTCGCTTGTCGGTTTATTAAAACACGGGTCCTGGTGGTGGACACTTCAAAGAGCCATGAAGACAGTCTTTGGACTCGTAATTTGATATTTGATACGGAGCTATGGAAGAGTCAGAAGCCGGCATCTCCAAAAATAGACACGAGCTTTCCGACTCGTTGATTGGCTTGTGGCCGTCAAGTTCTTCTGTTTGACTCTGTGAAGCTCCCACTGACAAGCTGAAAGTGCTCTTCACGACCGAGGAACGGAAAAATACGAGCAAAACTGTGAATATCATGTACAGAGTCCCTCGTACTCTACTTCATGCAAAGTCACAATCGTCAAGGGCTGCCAAGGGGGAAGCGCTTCAGCTGGCAGCACCAATATCATGCAAGCTGCACTGAGTGCCCCAGCGGTGCATCATCAACAGACAATAACTAGTTACCCTCGCTTGACCTTTCCGAGCATAACTACCTTCATCCTGTTGTCATATACCAAAGCCAAGGCAGACCCTGACTCTGTTGACATACATCACGCCCTGTCTCTACAAGGTAGAGGAAGTGAAGCTGAGCGTTGACAGTTCTTTCCAACAAATAGAATGCGTAACCACCTGGCCAAGATCACCGATATATTCGGAGACCATGTTGTAATTCAAGGGTTGGCGAATCCTTCATGCTTGGTTTGACCAAACCTGAGTCATTCGTATGAAGCATTTGTACCATGCAGATGGAAGGCATAAAATGAGCCTCTCCCCCTTCTCTAATAATCCCTTCAATACCTCAAAACACATCAATACCCTTACCAGAATTAGCTATCTCCATGACTGACTCCATCTAAGATGGTAAAATCACTCTACGCAGTAACCGCGTTGTTATTGCTTAACCCTTCCTTGTCTGTCTGCGGTGGCCCGAATTCTCGAGCAGTCGAAAAGATAAGGGCTGACTTCAGACTCCCTGGCTTCGCTGTTGGGCTGTTTAAAAATGGGTACTTACAGTACGAAGTTACCGGGCGACGCAAGAACACAGAGACTATTCCCATCAAACGTACCGACAAGTTCCATCTGGGGTCCATTACAAAAGCAATGACTGGCACACTTATCGGAATGATGGTCGACAGAGGACTGATTAACTGGACCAGCACTCTCCCGGAGGTGCTGCCTGATTTTACCAATATGATGCATGATGATCACCGGAATACAACCATTGGCATGCTTGGGGCGCACAGATCAGGCATTTTGGACGACTACTCAAAGGATCCCGACTTCTATCTCGGCCTCTACAACCTTGACCCTGTTGAAGGCCGGAAAGCAATGATAATTCATACGCTCAGCAAGGAACCAGGGACTACCAAGGGTCAATACGTATACGATAACACCAACTATGTGATTCTCGGCCGGATCGTCGAAAATTTCTTGGGAGTCGAAAATGGCGCATCCTGGGAGCGGATCATCACAACTGAACTTTTCAACCCTCTCGGGATGAAGTGTGGGTTTGGGACTCCCCATCAATCCTCAGAGACATCCATCGATAACCCATGGGGCCATTATTTCTATAATTCTTCCTCTAATCCTGAACCCGTGGGTGGTCCTTTGGTTAGACGAGATAACCCACTTGCCCTTGGCCCCGCGGGCACCGTCCATTGTGATATCAAATCATATGTGAACTTTGCTAAAATGCATATTGATGGGTTCAACGGTGGACGCACAAAACTTGGGATAAGTAAGGAAACCTTTAAGATGCTGCATACACCTTATCCGTCCACGGATGGAGTGCTGTATACACCCGGGGGCTGGATCTATGCCAATGATACCACAACTCCATGGGCTAATGGGCCAACTTTGGGACATGAGGGATCCAACAGGTTAAATCATGCCTTAGTATTTATCGCTCCCAAGCGTGGGCCGATTGGGGAGATAATCACTGCTTTTGCGAATACTGGGAATTATATCGCTGAGGAAGGTACAGCACCAGCAGCAGATGCAATGTATACCGCTGTTTCGGATATTATGGAAGGGCGCCTGTTCAAATGAGTGTGATAAGAAGGAAGATTCCTGGATATCTCGTGTATAATATATCAAACTGACTTCAATCCTCCACTCCGGCTATCCCCCTAATATAATAAAATAATTATTTATATTTAACTACATTATCCTCATTGTGTCTTAGCTTCTAAAGAGTTCCACCCGAGGTATCACGTGCACATCTTATCTGATCAAGTTTCAAACGCTCGAAGTGAGCCTCTTCTGCCTTTTGGATATTATGGATATTAACGGATTCAAGTTCCGGTTATTTTGACGGTGGTAACTCGGTTGGCGCAGCGTTGGCATGGGGTGGGTGGGGATAGGGGCTCTAATCGCCTCTATATCCTATATTCTCTACAAACACCCACCAACGTCGTGGTCATTTCTGCTCTCTCCATGGAGCTTTTTGACAGAACGAAGGATTCATTCGGATGAGCCTAACCCAGGCCCGGATTCTATTGAACTCCCTTCTGCTAGACAGGATGATATTACTCCCGCTGGTGCGGCACCTAGTGAGGACGGCCAGGATGGGGAATCGACACCAAAGGCAAAGCCTACGATACCAGCATCTGTCATCCCACCTATAACTCTCGACGAGCCTCAAGCTATATCCGAAGAGAAGAAGGATGCCGTAGAACCATCCTCTGGCTCAGGAGCAAGCCCTGATGCTTCACCGAAGCCGAATAGCACTCCTTCTGTTATGGCTCCACCGCCTCCGACGATGACACTTCAGCCTCCTGCTCCAGCCGTCAGAGTACCGGAACAACACCCACCTGCACCAACAAGCACGTCGTTGATGCCTCCGCCGCCTCCGCCCGCTCCTAGACCTTCCTCTTCCCTAAGGGCACCTCTCCGCCCTCCGCCATCAGCTGCAGCCTCCCTCCGCGTCCCACCAGGATCACGCCCTACCACGAGCACTCTCCCCGTCCTTCCTCTCCCGGGAAAACCAAAACGATCATCTCGGCCCGTCATCTTAGAACCAGGCCACTCTCCACTCGACTGGGCTGCTCTAACGTCTAATCCGCGTAACAATCTTCGAGGCGCAGATCTACCGCCTACATTGATCAGGGTTACACCGTCAATGTTAAAGCAGCATAATGGGCGTAAGGGGACAGATGCATGGACGTCGTACCAAGGGAAAGTGTATAATATTACTCCATTTGCACCGTTTCACCCTGGTGGGAAAGGAGAGCTGCTTCGTGGTGCTGGCAAGGACTCGGAAAAACTGTTTGCTGAGATCCATCCGTGGGTGAACTGGGATGGGATGTTGGCTGAGTGCATGGTTGGAATATTGGTTGCTGAGCATATTCCTGATGACAGACAAGATGGGAAACTCGATGAGATGGACTGAGTAAACGTCTACTTGGTTGTAAAATTTTCATTGTTAGATGTAAATTAAGAAGCATGATACCCAGTCTAGACAATCGGTATACTTACAACTTTCTACATTAATGGTGCCATCTAAGACGACTTGCATATAAAATTTACGTAATTCCTACGGGAGTGCCTCTCCTACACTTATTTCAACCCTTTGTCTCCGTAGTTTAGATCATATTTCATATAGACATAGCTATGGGTACGAACTCATTGCAATGCTGGGTTATACCGGATCTAAACAGAGGCAGCCATGGCACTGTCTATCCGGTTCTGAGTCCGACCTCTGCAATCCAAAATAAGGTAATCCAGAGGCTGTGACAGGCATAGGCGTTATATGTCCGTGGTGCATCGGGTCAATTGTTTTAGAGCTCGCCCTTGGAGATTTCCACCAACTCGGTCTCAAAGATCAAGGTGGCACCGCCGGGGATGGGACCAATTCCTCTGTCTCCGTAGGCGAGATTTGGCGGGATGGTGAGCTTTCTCTTCTCGCCGATGGCCATTCCAAGAAGCCCTTGTTCCCAGCTATGACACGAAAAGAAAGTCAGTACGAGTATGAGGGGTCGACAGGCAAATTATCATCAACAGGAACACTGGGGAGACTCACCCCTTGATAACCATGCCGCTACCGAGGATGAAGCCCAATGGCTCACCGCGGTCGTAACTGGCATCGAATTTCTGGCCGTTGGATTGCAAGGTACCACGGTAATGCACCTTGACTTGGTCGCCATTGACAGTGCGGCGGTCACTCTGGACGGCCTTGATGGTCTCTATGACGAGGCCATCGGGGGTGGTGGTGGGGTTGGTGGCAGCAGACATGGTGATTGCAGCAGTCAGGACGGTCAGGATGGATGCAAAGCGCATGTTTGATGGAGGATGAAAGACGGGGGATGCGAGAGAGGAAGTGCTCGACTGTGGTGGGGAGGGACGAGAGGCAGGCTTGCGTCGGAGTTTAACGTGCGAGGTTAGTTAGTTATCTAATCCGAGCCTCACCTCCACCACCTTCAGTTGAGGCATCTAAAACAACGACTTCCTGCGGAATACCACTGCTTCCCGAGGTGGCCATGCACAGAATAACAGCGTAAGTTGATGATTGACTCGTATTAAGCGCTAGGTATTAGTTACATTCTGGCTTATGGGTACATATGACGCGCTCGCTCTTTTTTTTACATGGCATTAGGCATTAACCAGTCATTAGTCATTACAATGCATCCGGACCAGCCGTCGTCTTATAGAGGCTTGTTGTCCACGGATCCATCACCGGTCTCGCCAAAGTCTTGGACCTGTGCCTGGTGGGAAGAGGTCTCCTTCTCCTTCTCTTTTCCTGTCGGTTGGACTGCTGGATTCTCCGGAAGGTACTTCCTCGCTTCCTGAGCTATCCTATCCTCGCCCGTGAGCCTGACGAACCCGGGAATGTTCCTCCAGGTTGGAACCAGTCTCACGAATCCCCTTCTGCGGATACAGCAGAGACACAGCGAAGTGCAGTGGGCGTAGAATACTTCCCCACTGGGGGTGACGTCCCGAGGCTTGCTGCAGCATCCGCAGTCCCTCGCGCAGCAGCCATCGTTTTCTTTGCATGGCTTGACGAATTTCTCCTGCGCGAGATATCGTGGCAGACCAATCTTTGATACCATGCGTTTGATGCGGTCTGACTCTATGACCCAGCTCCTTATCTTGGGTCCTTCTGGCCTGCTCTTGGCCAGGTCGCCATGTTTTTGTTTGATAAGCCACAGTCTCGCTTTTGAGTCGGCTAGCTTGTCTTCCCAGAGCTTGGGGCCGTAGTTATCAAGCCCGTCAAGTTCGTCGAGCTTATCTTTGGCAGCGTAGTCGAGAAATGTCTCCCGAAGGAAATAATCCCGCTGCCTCAGGTATTCCCGCTGTTTGTCCAGGTATTCCCACTCCTCGATCCAGTCTGTTTGTTTCTGGATCTGGGATTTTGTTTGAAAGAGCTCTTTTGTCTTTCGGATCTTGTTGGATACCCAGTGGATGTGGAGGGTATCAAAGAGCCCTTCAAAGTTGATGCCGCTACGGAAGCCAAGCATGAATACCAGGGCCGCAAGCACTGTTACTGCAGTGATGATGCTCGTGGGCGAGATGATCGGCTCAAGAAGCCAGGGGATGGCGTGCTCCCCGTTTTGGATCATGTTCTCATCCATGGCGTGAGATAGCAGACAAGTGGAGGATGAGAGAGGAGCTGATAGTGAAGGTGGAAGAGAGAAGATAGGAGAGAAGACGGGAGAGGGAAGGCGGAAGAGGTAATGATCCCGGGGGAGAAGGACCTAGGGGGTTGCAGGTGGAAAAGTCGAAGGTACAGTTGATATCGAGATGAAAAGGATTGAGAAATTGCGACCAAAAAATGACGGAATCTCTCAGTTTAAATAGGCAGCTGGGAAGTCTAATTAGTCGATAATGTCATTTTCAAGAGTCAATGATATTTGCCGTTGTTGCAGTTGTTTGGATCATAGGTAGACAGTTTGGTGCATTGGTAGGTGGTTCAACCCAAATCCAACGGGGAGATCCAAACCTAGAGTCTTGTCACTCAACACGGTCGTCTTGACCTCGATAGTGCTTAGCACACAGTAGACGGTTCAAGAGATCTTTAACATGTTACCAGTAACTCCTTTGGTCTATGTAGCCGCTATGTTCTCAATTGGTAGTGTTTCTTTTCACCGTTGGCAATTTTGGTAGCCCGTGGTTGTAGGTACTATTGTATTCTGAATGACATCACCATGACAGCTATATTCAATATTTATCGCTTTAAGTTGGTGTGAACCACAATGTTGCAAGTGTCTACCATGAATGCCTGTACGAATCTTACGTGGCAGGCGTCAACTTGCTTGCTTACGTAGTTAACTACGGAGTAGTTATTGCTGCTTTCGAGGTAAACGTATCAAAATCCCCGTCCCTTCCCAGGCCTTCTCGACTTGCTGCATGTCAAACAGCCTCACACCGCTCTCCTGCCAGCTCCCGCACCGTCAGTATCTTCCCAGTAGGCACTAGCCGGGCCTTTGTCTGACCCTGTATGGCTCGACATCTCGGTGAACATTACTCTGTACAGGCTCAACGAACATATATTTTCCCATACAGAATGCCAATTTTAGTAAGTTTATTTCACGCCACAGCGCTTCTCTAGGCCTATAGACAGTAAGAGGAGGATATCTTTATAATAAATGCAATTTCAAAATAAAAAAGAGAAAATTTGAAAATTTGAAGTTTTCCCTCTCTTTAGAGTTCCATTTTTTGAAAAATTCGGTATTATACGCTATTTTAACTCTTAAAAGGAGGGGGGATACGTTACCTAGGGCCTTTCAAGTCCTCTTAATAACTATCTAGATGTTGCTAGAGGTATTGTGGTGGGACATATATTTCAAAAATTGGGTATATTATATAGGAAAATGTATGTTCGTTGAGATGTCAGACCCTACCTACGGAAGTATCAGACCAAAGCCCTGTTCCCTCCAGTGTGTGAGCATGGTTGCAACATGTATGTACATGCACTGCGGGTACTTAGCTACCTAGCTAGCCGCTTCTCACCACCGGGACCTGCAGCTCGTTGGTGGCCATGAGCCAGCCATCGCCTCACAGGCCTCTCCATAGGCGATGTGTTGGGGAAGCGCGCAATACGAGTGCAGATGGCGAATGCAATAGACAGGGCCAGGGGATGGAGGAAAGAGGGGGGCAAATGACTTGACTTTGCAGTTGAGTTTTCAAGTCGCCCTTGACTATGTCTTCACCGCAGCTTCGGTCTAGCCTCTTAAAATAACCCCTAAGAAGCGGAAAAATTCATATGGTATTGTTCTGTATATAGGTGCTGCCCATGACAGCAGGACCACGTCAGAGTTTCAGACATCCGCAGTGACTTGCGGTCTGTAAGTAGCTGGAGAGTCAGGCACAGCGACGCCGGCTGAGCTCTCTGTAATCATCAGCTTGGGACTTAGTAATTGTTGCTATGAATATACTCGCCATATGAAGAGCATTCAGGTAGACCGCTCTTCTTCGATCCTTCTGGCCTTTCGCCTTTCCCTCTGAGGTGTCACAGTTGTCAGGTTCCCGATGACGTTGTCCACCTCAACTCGGCTCAGGTCTCTCACGCGTCTCTGGTTGTGGCTGTAGGTATTGGAGGCGCTTCGCCTTCTAGCCACGGAAGCCTCATCTCTTCCCTCAGGGCTATTCCTGGCGTGGCTCGCGCCCTTCCTTCGTCTCTTCGTCTCTCCGTTTCTTCGTCTCCTCGTCTTGGGCAGCGGCAGGGCCTCACCTCTGCCCAAAAGGGTAAGGCAGGGCAAATATATCACGTGAAAGACTATTCGCCCCTTTTTTTCGCCCCCCTTTTCACGTGATGTTGGGCGCCAAAAGGGGGCTAGCGCCTTTGGTCGCCTCACATGCTGACTCATCAGTAAAGGGGCTAAACCCCTTTGGGCCGAAAGGCTGGGCTCGGGCCGGAGGTTTCTGCCTGGCCTCGCCGCCTTTTCCTCTTTGGGCGACTTCCAGCCATCCGCCAGAGCAGCGACGCGCGCTAGGCCCGAAGAGGAAGCTCTGCTGTTGCTGCCAAAACATTCCAACCTCCTCGACCGTCGCCCGACTTTCCAACCTCAACCTCCCTTGCGATGCTTGTGACGCTTGGTGATGCTGGACGACCTCGCGACGCGCTGCTGCCTGCTCTTGTTTACTGGGATATTGAGCCAATTCGCCTGTTGCTGCCTGCTGCTGCCTGCTGAGGTTCCGACGCGCATGAAGATCGCCCTGGCCGGGCCTCCTGAGTGACTGAAACTACGGAGTTACCTGTCCTCTGTTTCCCTGGCTTGGATCATCAACTGCGACCTATCACCCTTCTGACCCCCCTGGGCATTGCGGTGGGCTTGAGCTGGTCTGGCTGCCTTCATCATCCTTTGCTTTTTCCCCCCATCGCTTTCTCCCCGGACGCCAGACAAAACGGCGCGTCAATTGGACGGCCACGAAACAGCTTCGATCCTAGAGGCCAGAGAGTTGAACCACGTTCAATTGACGCTGTCTCACTGACTAGCCTGGCCTATCATCACCGTGCTGCAAGCCCTTTTTTTGTTTTTTGGGGTTCGTGGCCCCTGTTAGCTGGGCTGCTTCTTTCCGGGGGTTGCTCCGTCCTCTTCTCTCTGTCATTTTTCCTCCTGATCCCTCTCATTTTCCTTGTACCTTCAATTCAACGTCTGGGGAAGCAAGCAGTTCAGATACTGATCTCCTTCCTGCCTTGCCAGCCACAGGACTCGATTCGTCGTCGAATGAGCTTCGTTTCCTCTCCGGTTGCTGACAGTTCTGCCTAATTCTCTGGGCCGCTTTTTTTTTTCTCGCCCTTTGATTTTCACCTGTCGTTGCCTGGCCCATCTACCATGACGCACATAGTAGAAGGTCATCAGATACCCTGCTAAGAAACAAAAAAAAAGACATCTCTCATTGCCTGCTTTCACCTGGTGCCTATAGAATTCACCCTCTTACTGTTCCTTGTCCCTTTGGTTGCCTAGTTCCAACCCCGAGGCACTTCTATCTTTAGAGCCTTTCAAGGCAAAAAGATCATACCAGGGAGAATACCTTGGTTGGCTTTGGCCCGGAGGCTCTGCTCTCGTCATCGCCCTCTTGTCGATTCATCGAATCCCAGAGTGCTTTGTGACCTTCGATTTCTTCTCAAGCCTCTTCCTCCAGATTATAAATACCTGGAGAATCTTCCTCCCGATTTACCTCTTTCTCAACGCATCTCTCACCCCTCTACATTCTCATCTCAAGCTTGCATAGAAGCCCAATCTCCTGTCTATTCGTCTCTTTGACAACACATTTCCTCTATCTTCTACCGCAATCAACCTTCCGTCTTAACAACAAGCGGAAGCTCATCTCTTTTT